TTAGGTCACGGCTTGGTGGTCATCGGCTGGTGTGATCCACTATAACTTTTTATCACCAGGCCAAACCATCACAGCAGAACCCTACTGTGAAGAAATCGACGAATTGTACCGAAAATTTTGTCAGATGCAGCCACTTATCAAAAGAAAGGGTCCGATTCCTTTGCATGACAACGCCCGCCCACACGTTTCACAAATCACTATCCATAAATTGAACGAATTGGGGGTTGAAGTTCTACCTCAACCGCCATATTCTTCAGACCTTTCGCCAACCGACTATCACCTTTTCTAACATTTTCAGAACTCCCTTGCTGGAAAATACTTCATCAATCAGGACCAGGCAAAAAAGCCTTAGTGGATTTCGTGAATTTTCGACCACCCAGTTTTTTACTTTGATGGGATTTCTCGACTGCTGTCACATTGGCAAAAGTGTGCTGATTCGAATGGTGCCTATTTCGATTAAATCCGATGAGTATTAAAAAAGTTACGATCGTTTAAAGTGAAACACCCAAAACGCTGAGAACTTTCCGGACAACCTAATAGCTTAAAATGTGGGGGTTAATGTGGTTCGGGAGGGGCACGCAGCGCGACTAAACTTGCTCGTTTACTTATCAAGACCGTGATCTCTTCCTTCAGCACCTCAATCCGTCAGAGGAGGTCAGAATGAGCGCGCCTCAGTCTCTACGGTTGCTCCACCGCCTCAACATACCTTAACCAGTTTGGCTTCACGGTCCTCCCACAACGGGTGTGCTTCGACTTCTCGACCGGAGACCTCCGCTGACCTTAATCCACTTTTATCCGGTTGCTGTGGCTGGAATGCTCTGGAGCCGTTTTGCGGATTTTGAGTCTGGCTCCGCCTACATCACCGCACGTCCTGCCCTTTCCAGGTGTGCTTCTATCTCTTCCCAACCGCTGTAATCCCTTGCCGACCTAGTACCACTTTTTCCACACGGGAGCAATTTTACGAACTTCTCAGTATGGCCCGCCCAACCCGGCGAACGCCCTGCCCACAGCTGGTGCATCTCCCATATTTACTCTGTTTGCCCTAAAGATACGCCATGAACAGTGAATAAGAACGAAAAAAATATATATTTATTACCACCAGAGTATGTCGGGCGTGCGTGCGGCGTGTGAGTTTTGACGCGGCGCCAGTCCGTTTTCCATCGATCATCTAGCTTCGGCATTCAATGGGGGGGGGAAGGTCTGCCGCCACGCCAAAACCTGCACGCCGCTGACACCCCCGACTGACTTCAGTGGTAACGGCTGTATATATTCAGATTTTGACTTCCATCCACATCATTTGGGATCAACCAGCCTCTCCAGGAGGCAGCACCCGTCGATCCCTCCACAAAATGTATTCGCTTCGTTGCAGTAAGTTGTTTCCTTGAAGTAATGTCCTGTTTTTTTTTTAAGTTTTTTTAAAACGGCCTCATCCCCACGGCCCTTGGAAAGGGCCGGCTACTTTTCCGTTTTCCGGCACGGTCTACTGTGGCTCCATATTATTTGAAAAAGGGGAGTGGGGCTGTGACGCGCGCGGAAGCGTAGCGCCACAACGTGAAATCGGGAATTTTATTGTCATAGTTGCAGATTTCGAACGATAGCGCCATCGTTGACACTGGTGCTACGAGAGAACGGTCAGCCACCAATGGTGGCGAAAATCCCTTCCGAATTGATCACACTGGCACGATTTCGACGAACGTTTGGCATTTCTCGGGCGGAGGACAGAAGGTGCTGTGCATTTTTCAGAAATCACTTCGGATTACGCCATGCAGTTGCATGCTGCAGTAATTCCAGAATTAATAGACTGCCTCAGTGGCTGGAAGCCTACGATAGTATGAAGGTCCACGCTGTTAGTGTGAGCGGTGTCAGGTCCACCACTGCACTTTCCTCACTGAGAGGCTTCTCTGCCCTCATGCCTGACTCCGCCCACATGACGAGCGTGGAACGTATTTTTGGATCACATACTTTCGCTTGTAAAGCTTTGTTTTCAGATTCTTGTTCAAAAGCACTTGCGAAGACGGCTCGGCTCCTTTCCAGTGGAGCCTCATCACAGATGACGATGCCGTCCTGCCAATGTTTGATGGCAAAATCACCGCGGAATGTCGTCATTTCACCGATTCCGATTGAACGCTGATTGATTGAATTTATTGATCATATATCGCTTGGATTTATTGTGAATCTCCACAAAAATTCATGCAAAGTCACGCAATCAATCGGTTTTTTTCACATCATGCAGGGTTTTCATGTATTCACTTAGTTTTAATGATAATGTATGTATTTTCATATTTCTATTGTTGCTCAATGTTCATAAATATTTATTAAATTGCCTTTTAGCAGGTCTTCACACGTAATGCCATAGTAAGCTGAGCGAATAAGCTAGAAACTGTCGCGCGCGTCGAGCTAGTATCTGAATATTACCGCAGCTGGAATCTCCTGACCACATTCCCAATTACTGCAGTAATTACTAATACTTCGCACAGTGCAATTACGCCCTTATGCAAGGTAGTTATTCCGATAGGCTCAGAAAGGACAGGAGGATAAAGGATAATAAACCTTTAGTTAAGTAAATTCTCTGTAAAATGCGCCATGCATTCCACTTCCATTCAGAATCGCAGCAGTTTCCTGAATGCGATGAGACTTACAAAATAACTTGTTGGAGTAGATGTTCTGATCTGGTTTATTCTCTTAGAGGAGTCTGGCACAATCCCCCGGAAGGTAGAGGGTTTGATGGCCTAAGCGGGAGCCCAGCCAGGGTTTAATCCCACGGGTGGTAAGCGAACCGTTTGCCACTACACCTCATTCCATATTTGGTATCAGTGCAGCGGCCTTGGAGGGATGGAAGACTCCGTAGGCCTGACTAACAGTCGATCCGAGATTGAAGCTCCGAATGGTGGCTGGTAAGTGACGCCAATAGCAGCAACGCCACCCCTCCCTCCTCCCCGCTCTTGAACAAGCACATAAAGAATTATTAGAAATAAAAAAATGGTAGGTAATCTAGTTTTATCGTGTTATGCCGAAAAAAACTACACATACTTTTGCTCTGATTCAGCTGACGCATGCAAATTAGTGGCAACCTGGCCTTTAGCTGAGCTACATCTTTGCCCTTGCCCCTCAAAATTTCTCGATTGTTCGGTTTCTCAATTCGTTCAGCGATTTTTCGACACTGTTGGCTAAGAAGAGGGGCATTCAAAGGATTCTGCGCTAAATTCCTTTGTACCATCTGGATATCTGAACCGCGGAGCCTGCCTCCTACTTTCATTTTCCTTCCCTCCTTTCTTCCTTTTCCCTCCTCCCTTCCTTCTTTCCTCTTCCTTATTTCGCCGCCTCCAAATGCTCAGCCAGAACATGCGAAGAGAAATTACTTCGGGACACTCGCATCAGAAAATATCCGTGTAATGTACCAAATTTGTAAACCCGAGTTTTTACCCTGAGACATTTCCGATTTCCTTCCATAGCACAATACGACAAAAATCTCATCTCCTTTATGCTAACATCCATTATGCACAAGGATCCTCTTCTGGTGATTTCCCTAATCCTAAAAGGGGGGCGGCAGCAGTGATCTTCTTTAGCCAGCAGCCGTACCTAAGTACTGTTCTACCTGAACGGTCCAAACTGAACACAGCGCATTAGTTTTAAGTAGCAGATCCCTTTTCGGCTCAAAATCTCTGGGCCTAAATTCACCGTCCCTTGAAGGGTAGAAGGCGTGGATGGTATGGATTCAGTTCGTGCTGCTAAAACGCTATTGCCTTCTGTAGTTGTTCAAAAGTGCTTTGCAAGGCATTGAATATTCACGGGACAATCGACAATACAATAACACCTCGCCATAATGGCCTGCGCTAAAAACGTCCCGTTCATTGCTCTTTTAATCTGCAATGCCGCAAAAAAACTATTTTTGGCTGATGGATTGCTGATGTGCTGTTCCGTCACCACCTCTCCATAACCATTCGTTTTCTCACCTTTCGCAAGACGGCCCAAGTTTGAGCTCCTCAAACCTTTCTTGAAAATCGTTCATTCTTCAGCGTTGGCCTATGCAAAGATTACCTACACCATGGTTTTGTAACCCTTGATGGGTAACAACAAGGGTAGAAAGCCCTCAAGCGCCTAGCTTGAGCCTAAACTTTTCACTTCCGTTGTTGATGTTCCTACGCTCTTTTCATTACTGCCTCGACTTTCTTGCTAACCCGAGGTGGTATCGCCCTGTACGCCTCAAGCGTACATGATCGGGATGTGGTGGAGAAACGAAGCTGTTAGTACCACCCCCCCCCACTAAGAGTGTTCTCTGTACGACCTCTCTTTCACCATCTACATGCCACCCTTCTGAATGTCTGAAAATCTTGTTGTCGCCGGCCGAAGGTGGTTGTGGTAGATAGTCATGATCCCTGCAACCGACAGGGCGTGTGAAGGAGCGTGAACTGGAGCGTATCAAGGACAGCCTTACCGACCAGGTGCTGCCGACTCAAGATGGCATCATTGGTGGAAAAGATCGCCTTGGCACCGCTCCAGTCCCGCTGCGTCACAAACACTATTGTTTGCAGAGATTAGGGCTGTGCCCTCAATCGAATGGGCAGAAATAGCTCTTTCAGCGCCAGCCATCTGTGTTAGCGCGCTTGGAAATACAGTGCAGTATAATACAAAAAAGGATATACTAAAAATCGTGAGGAACTGGGGGACATTTTTGGATGGGGCAACAAGGTTCCAAGGAAGTTTCTACAGGCCACCTCGTGAAGACCTCTAAATTCCTTGACCAACGTGGTTCACTTGTACTCTTTCGCAGCTACACAAGCATATGCAGGTCTCTCCAAAACGAAGCCAACTAATTATCATGAACTGGCAAAAGAATTTAGCAAAAGAGCAACTTGGCCCACTACCTCCCCCCAACCAAGCTGGAAGGGGCCGAATTTTTCTCAAGATCTCATACGACTCCCCCTTATGATGACGTACTACGGTGACGTACGCTGCGTAGGCTTAGTGAAAGGTTAGCATGACCCGCAGCCAGGATCAAAAGCGCTTATTTAGCCAACCTTTCGCTATCATCACCTTTTATCAGAGCTTTTGAGACAACTGATCAAAGAGCTCCGCATGCATATCACAGGTTTTTTTTCGCCCTGGCGATGGTACGTATACTCGAAATCCCTGAGATCGGGTAGGCGTGGTCGCATGTTTCTAGTTAGCCTGAAGGTGTTTATGCTTCTGGTGAGATATTTTCATCTTGACACAATTGTTGTCGTGTCTCTGTCCAACGCAGAACAAGATGACAGTTGTCCCAGACTGGAATATTCCACGAGTAACAGTTCCGTGCCATGTTCAAATGCCACGCCTACTCTGGCTCAGGGATAAGAAGTATAGGATAAGATCGATCATCGTTCGGACACGTGTCCAGTCCCCCTAAA